CAGAAATCCAAGTAAGGAATTCTGTTAACCCGGGAGAAGGTGTTAGGCATTCCCGAGTTCCGTGGTTCTAGCACGGTCGCTCAACTGTCATATTCGGCTTATTTATCTGATTTTAATACATGTTGAATCCTATGTGCAAATTTTAACTGTTTACCGCTTTTATTATTATTATTTTTACCGAGAATTGCAACATCGTGAAAATACATCTCGAACCACGTCACATCAATGCACCCGTGGTTATTGACACATTTCAACTTTGTTGAGATTTGGATTTGGGTCACATAAATGTGCACCCGAGTTTAAGAAGATAACATTTTTAAATATGCGCCTAAAGCGACTAGCGTATCATTATTTTGAGTAGGGTCGTGAAATTTTGCTAAACGGCCCATCCCGAAATCTAAGTAATTTTTAGCAACACGTATAGAGGGCCCCGTAGCTTGTGTATTTTTGTTTGTCGAGGCTCGTCTCATTCATTATTTTTTAAAAGGAATTTGCAACATCGTGGAAATGCATATCGAACCACGTCACAATCAATGTACCCGTGATTATCGACACATTTCAACTTCGTTGAGACTTGGATTTGGGTCACACAAATATGCACCCGAGTTTAAGAGAGTAAATTATTTAAAGCGCGCCGGAAGTGACTTGCGCGTTATTATCTTTTGGGGAAAACCGTGAAATTCGCTAACGGCTCGCCTCGGAATCTAAGTATTTCAAATATACATTTTGATGAGGGCCCCGTAACTTATGTGTTCTATTTAGCGAGGCTCGTCTCATTTCATTTATAGGTCCTTCCTAAAATGAACTAAGATTTTCTAATTAATTTGTCTCTAAAAATAAGGAAAAATCCTAATCGATTTTGTCAAGGGCCTAAAACAATAATTGTAAACCAAATATGTCTCAGGGCTCAAGGATAAGCCCGAAAAATGTGAATTGGCACAACCAAAAGCCGGCCCAACGTAGTCTTTGGCCCAGGCCCATGCGAGTATACAAATAAGGTAAAACCCGGGCCATTCGTTAAAGCGCTAAAGCTCAGATGGCCTGGAATTAGGCTGACCACTAGACCGACGCAGCTTCAGTTGAATCAAATCAAGTACCCATCGAAATTACTGCGTCCTTTTACTCAAATGAACAGAACATGGTTTGAAGATTAGATTATTTTAACTACTGGTCCGTTTTTACTAAAGGTGAAAGAGCAAATTAAGAGGTAGCTTTGAGTTCGACAACAAGATTGCATATCAAGCCTTCAAGGATTAGACTATTGGTCATACACTTCTACCAACGCTAGTTAACACCTATATATTAAGAACTAATCTGCATGATATGAGTTACTGAAATACAATACATGCTCAACTGGACATCAAACTTGATTTCAAATCCAACTGTTTCCGACTTTTCCTTTTAAACATAAATGAACACTAAACTACACATACACCCATTGTACTGAATTGCAGTTAGATAATCACAAATTTGAGTTGGTTTGAAGCAGTTCAAGGCAGTTTATTACAAGCTGTAGATTCAGCCATTCCAAATTACTTAAGCAAACAGTCCTAATTACAATTCAAACCATTACATTCAATTATAAAGAAGATATAGTAGCTACTGAAGTTTTCCAATGAAGTTAGGTTTCCATTTCATTTTATTTCAACCAAACTCTACATGATGTGGAGATTCAACATGTACCTGGATTGGAAAATAGGACAAGAAGAAGGAGAAGTCAGCAGCAGGTAAGCAGCAGACAATATAGCATCAATGGAATTCAGAACAGCTCCAAAAACCAGTTTTAAAACTAGAATAACACTCAACCACAATNCCAGTTTTAAAACCAGAATAACACTCAACCACAACCCAGAATGAGTTTGTCAACCAACAGCAATACAGACACCCAAAACAGACCAAACTGAGCTCGGATAAGTTCAGAAACAGAATCAATAGACTGCCAAATAGATTCAACAATCAAAAGGGGCAAGACCCAGTGCTTGGAATCTAAATTCTGCCTAGAACTCAATGGAACAGTATCCTTTCTCTTAACTCTCTCTTAGAACTGATTCAAGACTCAAAAATGTTCTCTCGGATTGATTTTTCCTCTCTCTAGGTCTCTCTTCAGATTTTTTCGGATCCCCCCTTTCTATCTAAAAATGACTATATATATAACCCCCCAAAGCAGGCCTGCCCCCCTCAACTCTCAAAACACTTTAGGCAGAATTTTTAAACTAATTCTGCCCATCATCTCTCAAACCCCACTATATTTTATGTTTTCCCTCTTTTTAATTTATTTGTTCCCCACTAAACTTCTTTTTGTTTATTAATCCCACGCGGGTATGGGCAGCCTATTTTCTATATCAAGTCCTTGTGACCCTCCCCATACCATTATGTTGTGTTCCCCACTAACACATTAGATTAAGGGTTAATTAAGTGTTTTACTGTCAGCCCACTTAGCAAGACCATTTTGCTAAACCTTTAAACCCCAAATTACCCTCCTAAAGCCCCATGAAATTACTGTCCTACCCAATCCCTTTAACCTATACTACATCTTTCATCCATAACCAGTTCAATTCGAACTCAAATGACCATTCAAACTAGAATTTAAATCAGGTCACATGGCATCAACATAAGAACAGTGATTCAGGGAATAAACTAAACATAATTCCATGCTAAACCTAAATACTAACAACACTGTAAATACATTAAATGAAAACACTGAATTCATATACAAAGTGATGGGCGATCACAGATAACATACTTCGAACTAACAGTAATAGCAAGCAATTACGGGAATAGCTACAGTTTATACAAAACTTACTAATTCTGACTGATTCGAATCATTCAGGAAAACAAAAGAAGGAACAAAATACAGAGTAAGCACAAAATATTCGAATTTAAACAAAAAAAATAAGAAAGGGGTAGAGGGATGAATTTATTGAACAAAAAGAAAATAAACGGGGCCTGGGTTCGAAGCTCCGATGCCTTTTGGACTTGGGGCCAAGACGGACCCTAGTCGAGTGTTCCTGAATGGAGAACACATTCGACTAAGGTCCGTTTTGACCTCAGTCTCTGAACTAGCTTTAGATCACCACTCTGAGACTTTTGATTCGAGGCTTTTCGGTGTGATTCGACGCAAACTAAGGGTGGTTTGGGAACGAGGGAGGTCAGGGGGTGGCAGGGTGTGAGTTTGGTGGTATTTGAACGGATTAAGGTTTGGGTTGATTCCTTTGATCTGAGATTCGAGGAGCTCGGGGGTGATTCGAAGAAAACTGAGCATGGGACTGGAACGAGGAAGTCTTGGGGAAGCTGTGGTGTGAATTTGGAGGCTATTGGACGAGATAGGGTTCCGGCCAGATTTTTTATCTAACATTCGAGGTACACGACTGGGATTTGAGGGATAAGAGTTAGGGATCCGGAATGGGGAGGTCGAGGGAAATCAGTGGTGAGAAGATAGGGTCGTTTGGACCACCGGAACCGCCGTGAGGCGATTTTCGGTGGGCGGAGCACGGTGGTTGAAGGCGGCAGATATGTTTGGTCTCTGAAGCTCAGAGACGAAGAGGTGAGAGGGGGTATGGCTTTGGGGGCGTGAGGTAAGGGATTGGACTTATATACGGAGGGGGTGTTTTAATCCTGGCCATTGGATCAAGCACGATCAATGGTCAGGATCAAGGAGATTAACCCATACGGCGTCGTTTGGTTTAAGTAGGGGGTCGGTTTGAACCGGGTAACGGGTCAGGCTTGGTCCTTGGATGTGGGCATTGATCTGTGACTATTGGATATGGCTTGATTGGATGGCTGAGATTTTTTGCCATTGAGACGACGTAGCTTGGTACCTATACTACGTCGTTTCACCATCCTATGAGAGGAGCTGCCTGGACCGGGTTTGGGGTGAAATTTGGGCCCGATTTTTTGGTCCAAAATAATGGCCCAATCCGATTTCACTCTTTTCTTTTTCCCTTTCATTTTCTTTTAATTCCTAAAAACCCCAAAATTCCTAAATTAAATTGTAAAACCAAGATCATTTTAAAAAGATATTAATTAACCCTTAACAACAATTAACACACAAGATCAAATATTGATTAAAATAAAAATCACACAATTAAACAATAAAAATGACAAAAACTACCAAAATTCATATTTTTTTGTGATTTTTCCATTTTGTAAAACAAACTTGATTGTTTAATTAATTCCTAAATTGTAAAATTAAATCCTAAATGCTCATGCAATACATATTTTTGTATTTTTCTTAATTAAAGTAGAAATAAACATGCACAGACAAAAATACAAATAAATCACAAACAACACAAAACCATTCTATTTTTGAATTTTTGGGAGTAGTTTTCATAGGGCAAAAATCACGTGCTCACAATAATGATCTCTCCTCTTTCTCACTTTTACTTCACAATTCACTTCACAACTCGAGCCAATGCTCTAAAGGTTCAATTACCCCTTATACTTTCACAATTCGTTATACAACTTGAGCCAATGCTCCTCAATGTTCATAGGTCACAATTTCTTCCACAAACTCTACACAACAATTAGAAACCATCACCAAGGCATGAAAGATGTCACACCTACTTTTTTACCTACACCCCTGAGAAGGTGGTATAAATAAAGGAGTTTTTCCAATTAAAGGACAATCGAAACGGGATTTATTGTTAAAAGAGTCGCCACTTGGGAGATTTATGGTGTCCCAAGTCACCGATTGAATCCCGATAAGCTTGACTTTGTTTAACAGACCGCGAACCAGAAATTCGAGTAAGAAATTCTGTTAATCCGGGAGAAGGTGTTAGGCATTCCCGAGTTCCGTGGTTCTAGCACGGTCGCTCAACTGTTATATTCGGCTTAATTATCTGGTGAATCACTTGTTTTAAACCTACATGCATTTTTAAACATTTTACCCGCTTTTAATATTTTTAGGAAAATTCAAAGTTATTTAAAACACATCGTAAGCCACGCTACATGAAATGCACCCGCGGTTCACGACACATTTTATTTAACCTTATTGGAAATTGGAGTCGGGTCACATGAAATGTGCACCCGAGCCCGATACCTAAAACATGTGAAAAATACTTAATTGCTAATGGGCTAACGCCTTCTCCACTTCTCATGGCCCAACACAATATGATTCAAACAATCCACACAAATGATGGCAATGAAACATCTAACAGATGGGTATCCAAAATCATGTAATGTTGGTAACAAACAAACAATCAGACAAACTAAGAAAAGGGCAGAAAGAAAAGATAAAGAAGTGTGAATTTAAAGATGATAAGAGCCAACTAAAGCTTAACTAACCAGCCTCATTCAAACTCACCTTTTACTTTGAAACCTCATGTCTGATCCCAAATAACCCTCTTGGCTTTATTTCCTTTCATCTTCACGTTCAGTCACATATAAATAGCATGCACATATTGAACTAACTAATATATCTTTAACTCTCAGAGGCAAAACTTGATGAGAAAAAGCACATTCTCCAAATAACAATGAGAGCAGTGAAACAACTTCTTCAAACTAGTATATACTATCTTAATGGAGCAGGCAGGGGAGTAGATCACAAAGGATAAATCCAAACCATAGAGGTAACAGGTCTTGCCCCAAAGAAAATTGATGCACATCTTGACGGAGAAATTTGAACTTAAATATATTCAATTATCCTAAGAACTCAACATGTGTACCAAGCCGATTTAAAGAACACACAATAGACCAAAATTTGATTAGAACTTTCACCTTAGTGATAAACTAATAGACATGATGTTTATTTTCAAGAAAATTTAAACATTCAACACGCGAGCTAAAACATTCGACAAAGTAACTCTTAGAATGCAGAAACTAAAATGAATTCGAATATGGAGCAAGGATGCAAACTAGCGCATGTTACCACAAACTAACAGGAACAGATTGATCGCAGTATCAATAAGCCAAAGATGAACGGATCTAGTCCGAAAACTTAACTATAACCTAAACGCTTCAGTTTTTCAATTTCTCACATTCAAAGCACATCAAACAGCAAGATAGCACATCGGATAACAAGAACAGATCGACGGATATTTTCAAGCGCAAATCGCAACTGAAAGCTAAGTTCAAACTAAACCTCTACTAAAATTTGATCAAATATGAGAAGAAGGAAGAACTGCACCTGAAGATCGAAGTTTCAATTCCTCTAAGTATTCAGCAATTACACAAATAAAATCAACACCGCAGCCACGACAGAAACTCTAAACAAATGGACGCTTAGACGGAATCTCAAACCAACGACTGGCATCAATCCTCGAACCTCAGTTAAACTCCATAGCGGAAGGAACAAAAAAAAGGAACCACAACATCTCGTTCAGGACTCTCTCTATCCCGTCACTCTTTTCTTCATTTGTGACTGTATGTGCACATTTTATGACAGTAGCTTAAGTTGAAGCAGCAGTGGGCGATAGCTGGGAGGCGATGGGAGAGGAGTCAACGGCTGTTGATGTTACAGAAGATGGAGATGGCGTCTTCAAGGTTCTGGTTTTGTTTTGGGTGTCAAAGCTGAAGAGAAGCTCTCGTTGCTTCTCTGTTTCATATAGTCTCTGTTAAGAAGAAGCCATGGATTTTGGGTCTCTGTGTTTAGAACCTGAAGAAGAAGCAGAACGGGAGGGTTTTTTTTGGTTCAGCGGCGCTGCCTCTCAGGTCGTCGTGAAGACGACGAAGACGAGAGGATGGAGTCTGTCAAAGCAGTGCAGCCTTTTTCGTTTCAACCCTTTTTTTAGCCTTCTCCGTTATCTCCTGTTCATTTCCGTTCTTTTTTGTTTTATAGTCTAGGTTTTTTTATAGGGTTTTAGGTTATGGGGTATGGGCCTAGGAATTATGGGCTTGGCAATTGTGGGCTAGGTCCAAAATTAGGCCTAAAGATGGGTTGCTCGAGCCCAAGCTCTATTCTTTCGCTGCGAACGAGATTAAAAATACGGTCTCATTAATTAATTAATCCTACTATTCAAATAATTATTAAAATAAAACTAACCATTAAAACAAATCTATTTTTGGTATTTTCAAACATCATATTAAAATAAAAATATGATACTATTGTTGTATATATATTTTTTTAAGATTGAAAATGACTACAAAACACTAATGAACCTATTTTTGTGATTTTTTGTTTTCTTGCAATAAAATTAAAGTAAAAGAGTCAAAATTACTTAAAATATCTATATTATGCCTAAATTAAATATTTTACGCTAATATATGAAAAATATTGGGGAGGGTCAAAAATCACATGTCTACAAAAGATACAACGAATTCATGACAATCACAATATAGGACTCACAGGCATGCTAGACACCAACGTATAAATACTCGTTACCATGCATATACGTCGTACTCAACAATTACCACATAGCAAATAGGACTCGACTCATAATCCCTCAAGCTAAGGTTAAACCAAACACTTACCTCGATGCCACGAACACAATTCATGTTTCAATTATAGCTTTACCCCTTGATTCCACCACCAATTCGCCCGTATCTAGTCACAAGTTACTTAATTACATCAATAAATGCTAAATGAATCAATTCGAATGCATGAAAATGAATTTCTCAAAATTTTACCCAAAAAGTCAAAAATTGCCCCGGGCCCACATGGTCAAAACCCGAGGTTCGAACCAAAAACCCGATTACACATTCCCCCAAGAATCCAAATATATAATTTATTTTGAAATCAGACCTCAAATTGAGGTCCAAATCCCCAATATTTAAAAAACCTAGGTTCTACCCAAAACACTCAATTTCCCCCATAAAAATCATTGATTTTGAGTTGAAATCATGTGAAAAGATATTAATGATTGAAGGGAATAATTTAAAATTAACTTACAATCGATTTGGAAGAAGAGTTGTTCTTGAAAAATCGCCCTAGGGAGTTTGTATTTTGAAAAGATGTGAAAATGGGTTAAACATTCGTCTGAGTATAAAAGGTGCAGGTTGCAGATGTAGGAAATGCGAATAGGGGTTCGCAATTGCGAACTCCGACCTCTTCTAAGTTGGGAATTGCGAAGGGGGGCCTCGCATTTGCGAGCTGGGAATTGCGAACCAAGCATCGCAAATGCGATCACATGCCAAATTGGGAAGTTTCGCATTTGCGAAGATAGTTTCGCATTTGCGAGATGGAGTTGGTCTGGGCTTCTTTCGCAATTGCTACAAGCCGCTCGCATTTGCGATATCGCATTTGCGAGCCATGCTTCGCAAATGCGAAGCCTGCAGACCTACTATGCACAGCTGAAAAATCTGCAATTTTCTAAGTCCAAAATACACCCTGTGGCCTATCCAAAACTCACCCGAACTCTCAGGGCTCCAAACCAAACATGCACACCAACCTAAAACATCATACGGACTCGCTCGTGCATTCAAATCATGAAAATAACATCAACAACTATGAATTTAGCATCAAAATCATGAAATTTTCTCAAGAACTTCAAATTTCAAATTTTCTCAAAAATGATCTGATTCACGTCGTTTCAAGTCCGTTCCTTACCAAACTTCACAGAATTATCTTAAATCATATATAAGACCTGTATCGGGCACCGGAACTAAAATACGGGCCTGATACTATCAAGTTTTAATCAAAATTCATTTCCAAACCTCATAATAATTTCAAAATATAATTTTCTTTAAAAATTTATTTCTCTGGCTTGGGACCTCATAATTTGATTATGGGCATACGCCCAAGTTCCATATTTTCCTACGGACCCTTCGGGACTGTCAAATTACGGGTCCCGGTCTGTTTACCCAAAATGTTGACCGAAGTCAAATTAATTTATTTTATAGTCAAAATTTATTATTTTTCACAGATTTTCACAAAATGGCTTTTCGGCTACACGCTTGGTCTGTGCAAGCAAATCGAGATAATATTGAAAGAGGTTTTTAAGGCCTCAGAACGCAGAATTCACTTTTAAAACAAGTTATGATCCTTTTGGGTCATCGCAATATTATATTAGAATGAGTGTGGTAAAAATAGATATTAAATTCAAACGGGATAATAAAAATTCACATGACAATATAATAATATTAGGTATTGAATAATATAAAATCAATAATAAAGAATAAATTGGAAAAAAAACTAAGATTTTTTATCATAGAAAAAAGTGTAAAACTTATTTAAATTTGAGATGAGAAAGTTTTTTATATTATGATAAGAAAAGTCATAATATAAGTCCACATAACTCAAGTCTAATAGTAAAATGAAAAACTAAAAATATTGAACAATAAAAATAAATTAGAGATAATATAAGGACATTTATAAATCATAAGTTTAGAAAATAAAATAAAGTAAATATACAATACTTAAAAATATTATTAAATTTTAAATAATTTAAAAATTTTGAACAATATTTTAAAACAAAATAAATATTTATTTTATAATTAAAAAATTATATATTTATATTAAAGGAAAGTAGTTGAGAATGATATTAAATAAAGTTACGAGTTAGTGAAAATCCACATAAAACGTAATAAGACTATATATTAGATTAAAAAAATAGGAATATTATGTTAACTTATTAGAAATTTACTATTAGAATTGAAAAGAAAAGACTATTTGAATTTGAGATTAGAAAGTTCTTAAAACTATGCTGCAAATGCTCAAATTATGAATAATACTACGAAATTGAAGTCTTATTTATGAAAAATAAAACAATAATAAAAAATAAAATTTTAAATTATAAAATAAATTTCTAATATAGGTAATTTTACAAAAATTAAATTTGTATCTTAAAACTAAAAAAGAAAAAAAACTTATGTAAAGAAGTAAAATGACGGTGAAAATATTACTACAACATTAAGATATAATATGTTCAAACAATTAAGAAAATATTTTTCTATGATTAATATCTGAATCGAGTGCAGTTAGTTTGAGTTTGAATGCATAGCATAATTATTTGAAAATGCGGTCCAGTTTAGAAAATAAAATGATAAGAATTATTTGAGTGATGAGATTTTTTTTTGAAAATATTACATACAGGATTAAAATGACAATAAAAATATTATTACAATATTTAAAAATAATGTGATCAAAAAATTAATAATTTTTTTTCTATGAATAAATAAATTTTTAAAAATACAAAATAAATTTCTAATATTGGTAACATTAATAACAAAAATTAAAATTAAATTTTATCTTATAGCTAAAAAGGAAGAAAATTTTAACTACATCTAATACAAAATTAATTATAGAGAACTCAATATATTTGGAACATGATAATCAAATAACTTATGTATTAATATTTTAGACTTATGATTAATATCTGAATCTAGTGCAGTTAGTTTGAATTTGAATGCATAACATAATTTTTTGAAAATATGGTCCAGTTTAGAAAATAAAATGTTAAGAATTATTTGATTTTGAGATGAATTTTTTTTTTAAAAAAAATATTACATAAAGAATTAAAATGATAGTAAAAATATTATTACAATATTTAGAAATAATGTGTTCATAAAATTAAGAATACTTTTTTCTATGATTAAATAAATTTTTAAAAATACAAAATAAATTTCTAATATTGGTAATCTTAATAATGAAAATTAAAATTAAATTTTATCTTATAGCTAAAAAGAAAGAAAATTTAACTGCATCTAATACAAAATTAATTATAACAGAATTCAATACATTTGGAATATGATAATCAAATAATTTATGTATTAATATTTTAGACTAATTAAAAGTTACCATTTAAAATAAAATATGACATTATTTTGGTTATAAGTAAAATATTAATATAAAACTAATTAACATTTATAGTAGGGAAGAGAATGTATATTAAAAAGAAAATAGAGGTAGTGTGAGGATACTTATACTTTAAATTAATTTTAGTATATATAAAATCAATTAATTAAATTATATTTAAAAATATTACTGACAAATTTAAATGATTAAAATATTATGAATAAGAGAATAAAAGCATAAAAATATATCAAATTTCGAGAATAAAACATTTATTTTTATCACATACTAATTAAAGGATAATAAGCAAGACATTAATTTAATCATAAGCTAACAAAAAATTATATGATAGTATGATAATATGAAATATTAAATAATATAATAACTATAAGAAAAGAACAAAAAAAAAGAATTTACGTAAAAATGATGTGATGAATAAGACATATTTGACTCCCTGATAAAAATAAAGTGATTGTAAGAATTTTGTTAAAATAATATGATCTAATGTGCTCGAACAAGACATATCACAATATGACATGTTTAGTATTCTTTAATATCGACAACGGAACGAAATGCAAGTACTAAAATCAAGGGATTAGGTTGCTACAAATATATGTTAAAAAGATTGGTTGTCTACTACGAGATTTGATCAATAATTTCATATCCTGCTTCATAATTAAATTCTCATATTATATAATTTTTATTTGAGAGATATATATTTTAAGGTTATTTGTACATGATTCAAACAACATACATTGCAATTTGAAATGATTTGTCCGCGCATTGCGCGGGTACTAATACTAGTTTATTATTAAGGAGGTAAGATATGCAGTTTGATAATATTTTTTTAGAAGTTATAATTTGTAATTGTTTGAAATTTAAGACGTAATAGTTGATTTATTAGTAACTTTTAACATTAATGCATTATTTATATTTGTAAAACCTGCTAGATATTTTATTTTCTATGAGTTTCTTTAATTTTTTTCAGTTTTCTTGAACTTTGAATGTATTTTTTATATTTTTTGTGTTATAATATTATATTATTAATTTATAAATTAAAAAATTTAAAGATCC